GAGACAAGAAGTCAATTAGCTCTCGCTGCTCTTCCCTGGTCAGTCTTACTCCTACTCTGGTAGTTCGCTCTGGCCTGGACTGATCGATCTGCACATCCAGAAGGGGCTCTTCGGTCAGGTCAACTGACTCCTCCACCCTGTTCTGCTTGGGCGGAGGTTCCTGTAATTGCTATCTGGGGCTCGCCGATCGGACGGGAGCCTTCCCTTTCCCAGCATACTTTAGTGTGACGGAATAACACTCTTTGGCTGCAACCTGATCCCCACGAATGTCTATCACCTTATTTCCATCGGGTCCGAGGCACCTCATGACCTGATGCAGAGTTGAGGGTACACCTTGGACTCTGTGAATCCATCCTCTTCCCATCAGGAGATTGTACGAGGGGTGAATCTCCACAATCACAAAAGTTTCCATAAGAGCTCGTTCTGCAGCTTGAACTTCTACTTCCACCATTCCGACGGGCTCCACCCTCTTGCCATCGAATCCTAACAGGGGATTTCCAGTGGGCTTGAGCCTCTCTGGTTTAATCTCGAGCCGATCAAATGTGTCCCTCGGCATGACATTCGCACTGCTCCCGGGATCGATCAGAACTCTGCGCACCAGGTAGTCCGCCACTGTCAAACTGACTACCAACGGGTCTTCATGGGGGACTTGAACACGCTGCAAGTCTGTCCTGTCGAACTTTATCTGTATCGATGTGATCTGCTGGTGTAGAGTATTCACGCTGCTGACCCTTTTCTTTATCTGCGCCTGCCGTAGGCGCGCTTGGAGTAGCTCATCTGAATCTTCGCTGGGCTCAGGTTAACCGTGGATAGCATTGATTATACGAACTGGCTGTGAATTGTGGGAGCTTTGTTTATGACTCCTTTTTATTTGTTCCATCGGTCGATTCTACACTGTCGCCGAGCCTTGAACATAACTCGCGAACTCCCCTCTAGCTATCAACATCTCCACTTGCCTTCTCAAATTCCTGCATTCGTTAGTCTGATGACCGAAATCGGAATGGAAAGCACAATGTTTAGTCTGATCCCTCTATTCGAGGGGTTGCCTAATTGGCAGTGGTGGATGAAACTTATCTTTGTTCTCCTGATATAGCCTCGCCAGAATGACCTTTAGCGGAGTGATCAGCTCTTCCTCCCTGGACCTCTTTTTTGCCTTCTAGGAGGTCTGACGTTGCGGCTGAGCCTGCTTCTGCCTGATCTTTGCCTTGGACTTTTCCTCGGTCGACACGATCGACGCTGTCCGAGCATTGGCTGCCTCCTCTTCTTCTAGGCGCACAAAGCCATCAGCTCTTTCATTGAGTTCATCCATAGTCGTCGGCGTGTTCACTACCAGACTGGTATGGAACGGAGTGCCACGTGTCATGGCTAACTTGAAGGCTTGAACCGCTGTAGAAGGGTGGAACTCGATCACCATACTCTTAGTGAGATTAAACCCGGTGAGAAAAGCCTGGAGACGTTCATCTTTGTGCTGTCTCATTATGAATAGGCTCGAGATGTCCTTCGGCGGACGCTTGTTCCCATAGTACTGGCTTATGAACCGATCGCACAGGTTTCGGAAGCTACCAATGGAGCTCCTAGGCAAGTTCTTGAACCAGCTGAGCGCCGGTCCAGCTAGGCTTGTAGGGAAACATTTGCACATTAAAGCGTCGTTTTCCGTATTCAGGGCCATCTTCAACTGGATATGGTACACATGATCGATCGGATCGGTTGTTCCGTCAAACAGAATAAAGACTGGCATAGCAAACTTCCTTGGATGCGGGGCATTCAGGATCTCGTCAGTGAATGGTGAATCAATTGTCCGAGCTGCGGATCGGAGTGCTTCATTCTCTCTTTGGCGCCCAATGGTAGCTCTGTGAGCTACGGTTCTGCTCTCCGAACCGCGATGAGTGATTGTAGCCATGGAGGGCCGGTAAGACGGATCGAACGACCGTTCCTCTATGAGCTCTCTTTGCCAAGGCGACACAACTTGGCGGCGATCAACCTCTATCACTTCTTCTCGGTTGAACCTTTCCCGATGCGGATCGAAGGTCATGGCTTCGTTCTGTCTGATCTGCTCATGTCGCGGATCAACGTGAGTCGATCCTTCGTGATCCTCAACTCGACGAGCATTTGGCGGCAAATCATCCATCCTCCTTTCATCACGGTGGAGAGCTGACTGATTGTTCTCGTCCTGCTCACCTTGATACGCGATATTAGATTGAACACCTCCTTCACCGGCCGGAAGTGGACGCGAAACCGCGGGTATTTGCTGATGTTGCATTCCAGCTTTCAATTCTGCATTCTCTTTTTTGAGAGCCTCGATCAAGTTCATCAACTCCTCAAGCTTCGTTTGCTGGACAGCCTCCATCGGATTGGAGCTTTCACCTATCATTATTCCTGAACGGAGTAAAGGCATTAATCTCAAGTTCGTGAGTAGATCTGAGCTTCGTGAGTGGGAATTTTTCAGATCTGGTTTCGAATTCTCCGAATTATGCTCACGGTTGACGAGATCTGAATTGTCCGAATTCTAAATCCGTCAAATCCTGCCACAATCGAACAACTCGTTGTTGCGTAGATCTGAAGCCACTTCCGCCAAAGCAACAGGAACTAAAATTCCTCCAGAGTAGGTCACAATCGCTCAGATTTGGATCCAACTCCCAAAGATCGAGTTTCATTCCCACGAATTGGTCTGAATTCACGCGATATTGATCAATGATCAATTAATCTTCAACAGTTCCCACAGACGGCGCCAATTGAAGATGCAAGAAATTCCTCCTTTCTTTCTCTCTCTAGAATTCTTACATTTTAACCAAAAAATATCTCCCCTCTCTATCCATTACTTCTCATATTTATAGATACTTACAAATATTGATGGACTGCTAGCTCTAGGCCCGTTCCTCTGTGAGTTTTGGTCATCTTTGATGGCTATTCGCGTTCGGCCCATATGGCAGCGTCTTTCTATGGGCCTGACCCATCTGTACGGACCGGATGTCGCGTTTGCAGGTCATATCCAGCCCATGTCACTTCGGGCCTCCTCAATTATAATTTTGTAATAAAAAGAAATCCTATTAGACAAGGATATATTTAAAGAAAATAAAATAATTTATATAAAACTCTATCACAAATTATCTAATTTTTTTCAATAAAACTCTATCACATTAGACAAATATATATTTAAAGAGTTTCTATAAAACTCTAACACAGATTACCTATTTATCTATTTATTATGAGTTTTTTTATTAAAAGGAAAAATAATTATACGAGTATTATTAATATAAAAAAATATTTATTAATTGATATAAAAAAGAGGTTTTAAAAGCGTCTCTATAAAACTCTAACACAATTTACCTATTTTTCTATTTATTATGAGTTTTTTTAAAAAAAGGAAATCTAATTAGACAAGAGTTATTTATATAAAAAAATATTTATTAATTGATTTAAAAAAAGTTTTCATATAAAACTTTAACACAAATTACCTATTTATTTATTTATTTTGAGTTTTTAATAAAAGAAAATCTAATTAGACAAGAATTATTAATATAAAAAATATTTATTAATTAATATAAAAAATAAAATAATTTTTCTAAAACTCTACAACAAATTAGACAAGAAATATTAATATAAAAAAATATTTATTAATTGATATAAAAAGAGTTTTTAAAAGATTTCCTCTAACATATATTACCTATTTATTTTTTTATAAAAGAAAATACAATTAAACAATAATATATTTAAAAAAAATAAAATAATTTCTATAAAATCTACCACAAATTAGCGGTTTTATTTTTTATAAAACAATATCACATTATATATTTATTATGAGTTTTTTAATAAAATAAAATCTAATTAGACAAGAATATATTTAAAGAAAATAAAATAATTTCTATAAAACTCTACCACAAATTAGGTATTTTATTTTCTATAAAACTCTATCACTAATAACATTTATTTATCTATTGATTATGAATATATTTACTAAAAATAAAATAATTTCTATAAAACTGTACCACAAATTACCTATTTTATTTTCTTTAAAACTCTATCACATATAACCGGTATTCATATATTTGTTATGAGTTTTTTAATAAAAGGAAATCTAATTAGATAATGATATATTTAAAGAAAATAAAATAAATTTTTAAAAGAGTTTATATAAAAAAAAACTCTAACATAAATTACAGATTTATCTATTTATCAAGAGTTTTTAAATTAAAGAAAATCTAATTAGATAAGAATTATTAATATAAAAAATATTTATTAATTGATATAAAAAATAAATTACATTACAGTTTTTTAATAAAAGAAAATCTAATTAGACAAGGATATATATATATATATATATATATATATATATATATATAAAGAAAATAACTAATTTCTATAAAATTGTAGCACAAATTATCTATTTTATTTTCAATAAAACTCTATTACATTAAATAAGGATATATTAAAAGAGTTTCTATAAAACAGTAACACAAATTACCTAAATTCTACCACAAATTAACTATTTTATTTTCTTTAAATTCTTATCACATATAATCTGTATTTATCTATTTATTTTATCTATTTATTATGAGTTTTTTAATAAAAAGAAATCTAATTAGAGAATGATATATTTAAGGAAAATAAAATAATTTCTGTAAAACTGCACCACAAATGACAAATTATTTTATAAACTCTATTATAAATTACTTATTTTATTTTCTATAAAACTCTATAATAAAGAAAATATATAATAATATAATAATACATATAAATAAAATATAAAAGTATAAAGAGTTTTAACATTTTAGTATTTATTTTTTGATATAAAAAAATTATTAATTAATTTTAAAATAGAACTCTATCACATATAACCTCTATGTAAAGAGTTTTAGGTTTAGTTTGGATACATACGAGAGAAAAGAAAAAAAAAAAGTTAAAAGAGAAAAAAGAAAAAAGAAATGATAGGTATAATTTATATTCATATTTGGATAAATTAGAGAGAAAAGAAAGTATTTGACAATATTGTTGTTTGGATGACAAAAATAAAAGAAAGGAAGGAAAATAATAATAATAAAATTACCATTTTATCCTTTTTAGGTAAGTTTAGGAGGGCAAAATCATTTGAGCCCTCTCACCTCTCTATTCTCGCTTTCTCTCTCCAACTGCAATGTACAAAATTTACAAAAATCAGACTATCAACTCATGTCGGCAAAATCATTTCAGCCTTCCCTAGTCGCCTCATCTCACACTTCTCTCCCTCTCCAACTGCAATCTACAAAATCTACAAAAATCACAATATCAAAACCCAGCAAAATCATTTCAGCCTCCCTTATCGCCTCATCTCTCAGTTCTCTCTCTCTCTCTCTCTCTCTCTCTCTCTCTCCAACTGCAATCTACAAAATCTACAAAAATCAGAATATCAAAATCTACATTAGTTATTGAATCGTGCTTGGTCTATGTTGATGCATGCTTGAAGGTATTTTTTTTGTGGATGATGATGCTGTTGCCGAGAGAATCAGAAATTATGAAGTGTTGATGTTGCCGAGAGAATCAGAAATTATGTATTTTTTTTGAAAGCATGATACACCAGGTACCACCTGCATTCGTATATATATATTTTCTGATTCTCTTCAACACTGTTTTCAAGTGTCAATTTTTTATGAATTTGATTGATTTGGTGTTTGAATTTATGAAATTTTGAATTTTAAAATAGGTTTTTTTTTTTTTTTTTCATAATCCTGCAACTTCCGGCGACTTTTCCCGTTCTCAACCTCCCTCTCTCTCTTTCTGCAACTGTAATGAAAACCCATATCCGGCTGTCTCTCAACTCTCTTGCCCCTTGGTGTAATTTTCTCCCTTTCTCTCCAAATCCCTCCAAATTTTGTCAATTTTGGAGGGATTAGGTTTTACTATATTGGAGGGATTTGGAGGGATAGGCCTTCCCAATCCTTTCTTTCTTTTGTTTTCCTTCCATCCAAACACACATATCCTTAATATTTTCTTTCTTTTTTCTCCAAATCCTTCTAAATCCCTCAATCCAGCATTTGAATATTTATTGTTGAATATAAAAAAAATATTATTAATTAATTTTAAAATAAAACTCTATCACATTTATTTATTTATTTTGAATTTTTTAATAAAAAAAATCTAATTAAAAAAAGAAATATATAAATAAAATAAAATAATTTTTATAAAATAATTAAAAAATATATGAAATGAAAAATTCGTAAATTACAAAACATTCGTCGCTTTACTTAGTATATATAAATTACACATAAATGTCATTACAAGAAAATTGATGTTTTACGTCAATTACAGACATGCATAAACATATATATATATATATATATATATATATATATATATATATATAAATTAACATACACACATAAATATCACTACAAAAAAATTGATGTTTTACGACTGTAATTGACGATATGCATAAACAACAAGCCTTCTTATGTACTAATTTACGACATATGCTTTCAAGCAAGTAATTAAAAGCTAAAAATAGTTATATTAACGGTTTGCACTTAATTGCCCTTTGAATTTTCCTTTTAAGGCGTGCATTTTCTACTATAACGACTTGTATGCTATATTGTTAATATCGGGCCAAAGTTTCTTCAAAGATTACCACTTTCCCTCCAATATGTGGGCCTAAAATTCCTTTGAAGACCCATTTTCCCTCTTATATGACTTAAAAAAATATTCCCGCACTATAAGCCTATTATTATACACAGATTGTTTGCTCCCTATTTGTAAACTCCCTAAATTGCATCATATTCTGGAAAAAAAAAAGATTAAAATAAAAATTAAAAATTTGCCATATGAAGAATAGGAAAGTAGACAAAGGATCAGTAGGTATTTCCATCTTTTCCAGTGTCGAAGTGCCAAAACAAAAACGTAGTATTGATGAAGAATAGGTTTTCTAGTACAGGATCCTCAACATCAACAAGATCACGCCGCATCTTACCACTGTAACCGAAATACAAGTCGTAGCCGTAGCGATATCCTTTCCGCAGGTCTCCTTTCGATCAAATTAAATCTCAACCGCTTGCGTATCTATTTGATATTTTTTTTCTTTGGGAGTCTGATCAAGTCCGGGCGATCTGCAATCGTTCCCACACTCTATCGCGGAATGGACTACTGAGCTATGGTTATCGCCTATTTCTCGGCTTCCACTAGGTAAATATATCTTCTTTACTCAATACGCTCTTTCAGATTTTCAGATTTTATGTTCTCATCAGATTTTCTGTAGAACTTGAACCGCGATCTCTAAAACAGAACATGGTAAGATTTCCTCTACTTCTTTCTTTCCCAAACTTTTCTAGTTTTTTTGGATTTGTTGCGTATGTATTGAGAATCGAATATGATTTACATATTGCTTCGAGTGAAAATTTGACGTCTCACCTACAGAGAACAAAAAGAAAAAGGGAACCTCACCCAACAATTAAGGTCTAGTTTGGGACATTCATAGTAATCTGATGTACTAAGTCTTCTTGCTTCGAGTAGTAGTACGTGACCCTTCCTATAATGTTTGGAAAGTGAAAATTTTACTTCATAAGAGATGGAGATAGTCAGTTCTATGGACAACCGTGTGAATGCTTGAGGTTAATTGGAGTTTGGGACACAATCTATTTTGTTATTTGGCAAAATAGATTTTGGGGCAGTTGAAATTTGGCTGGTTTGGGTTTTAATAATCATTGACAAAGTATTTATACATTATCTATGGCTCGTATTGTTTTCCCTTGTAGTGGTAGCTCAAATCTAACCAAGCCTTTGACACTTGAAGATTATGAGAATCATGTTACCCAACATTCAATATCCAAGATAGTCGGGAGATAAATCTTGCTATCAGGATTCTGATGGTCAAAATTGCAGTTTAGTAATTTTCAATCACTAGTAAACCACTAAAAGGTCATCAATACATATGTTTTATCATCAAGTTGTCACATTTTAATTTTATTAATTTGACATTGTCAAGTTTATTGCAAGGGGTCATTGCTTAGTGTAATGGTAAATGTTCATATCGAAAAGCACGAGAATACGGGTTTACGTATAAGAGCACACACTTTTTTGCAAAAAATGTCAAAGGCCAGATTTGTCTCCAATATTTTCCTCTCAGCACCCCGTATTTAGACTAGCATTGTTAATGGCTTTTAATTGTTAATTCTTTGACACTTTGAAGGGCACTTTAATTATTGTATTAGACCTTTTTTTATATTTTTTATTTTAGAGTCAAAACAATAAGAAAGTACCAGTTAAGAACATTTCATTATCTAATAGAACTAGAAACTGGAAATACAAGTCTAAAAGTAGCTTGTATTTTTTTTTGTTTTATGTAAGATATCATGAAATATGGGTGATCCAAAATACTTTGAATAGAATAAACATATTAAAATTTATGATTAGTTGATTGCTGAGGCACTGAAGTATTGAATTGTAAATGGAAACAACAGCAATTTCGCTTACATAACAATAATTAATCAAACTACTTGCTTACATAGGTGCTATAATTTATATTGAACATTAGTTAAAAAATCTGAAAGAACTTTGGGCAGTGAATAAGCTGGGATTTTTGTTACATGTTAATATAATAATAATAATAATTTTTTTATAAGTTGATTTTGTTAATGGGTTTAACTTTTCCATTAATGAAACAGTTTGTTGTCCCAGGAGGCAATATGTTGACGGAATAGCAACTTCTTTATTCTTCAATATCACACAGTATCATACATAAATTTTTTTATGTTACTTGTAATTACAGTCAAAACCCTAGCGCATGCCAATGGTTTGATTTTTTAATATACAATGCCTTTATTGTAAATGTTCCAATTTTGAATTGCAATTTTTTATAAAGCTAATTTTGTTAAATATGCAATAATTATCATTTTTGCATCATCCATTTCCTTGTGACTCCTTCGATTATTACATTTCTGTATGTTTTCCAGGCAAAATTAGCTCATGGATTAACTTGGATTCCAAAGATGAGATAATTCGGAAGGATTCTGAGATTGCTTTGAAGCAAGAAATAGCCTGGGCTTCTCATATCTCTTTGTAGGTGTGTATCTTTGTTAACCAATTTGCAGTGAAATTTTGGGTTGTAAAACTTGAAACTTTTCACCCTTATTTCTTGCAGTGCGTCTTTGTTCATCTTTTAGAAAAGGATTTAGGTCCTAATTTCTGGTTCTGAATTTGTATTGTACTCCTTTTAGAGTATTTTTTAACAATGCAAAAAAAATAAAAAATAAAAAAAAATAATTTGTAATATTACAATGAGAGATTTTTTATTTTTTTCATGCAAGTTAATTTATTAAAATAAGGGCTAAACAGCATTCACTAGTGGAGTATCCTCATAGACTCATACTTTACCGATTCTATTCTTTTCTATTGATGATGTTTATTATCAGTGCTTGATACAGTATAAAGTTCATATATAAAATGATGCTTGAAGATGATGAATGGTTTGCCTTTTATGCTTGCTTTCACATTCTTCTAAATTGTTTCACAAGAAGCCTGCAGTTTTCACATTTTACATTTCTCCTGTAGGCATGTCTACTTCCTGCCCCTAAAGGAGCATCATGTGCTAATTATACTCGATGCGTTAATCAGATTCTATAGAACCTAAATAGTATACAGTTACCAATCTTAAATCACAGTTTATACTCCTTTGTGTTTAACTCTCTATAAATTTTGTATTGTTTTTTATTGTCTATGTTCTTGTTATTTACTTCCATCTTGAAGTTGTGGCTTAGGATTCCATTGGAGAAGTCTGATGATGATGCTATGAGTGGGAACTCTGATAATTTGGTGAGTAGTACTCCTCCCAATGCAGGTAGACCTTCTAGTGCAAGGATCTCTTGTTACATATTCTTGTTTATTCTCTTAAGTTGTGGCTTAGGATTCCATTTGTCTTATGAACTAATATGTGTATAATGTTTCAGCCCTAGTGTTTTAACCACATTATGTAATATTACCATAATGCAAAGCTTGCAGATTTTTTGGTTCATTTCTTTTAAATATCATGATTGGTTGACTATGTGTACGTAGCTAAATGTTGTTGCTCATATAGTTGAAAGTTTTATTTGCTACTCATGTATGTTATTTTATTTGGAGACATCAATCATTAATGTTGAGCAATCAAGAAATACCCTTTTGTTCGCAAGTTGTGCCAAAGAAGTGACTACTAATGCCAAGTTAAAAAATTTTATGTCTAATAAAGCATTGGTAAAACATGTGCAGTGGGAACTATCTAGACTGAAGAATGATAGTCCAAGAGCCAATATTGCCACATCAGGTTGCACTGCATTACCACTTGAGAAAGACATTCGAATTGAAAAGGTAATCAAATAGTCTTTCACTTTTGATATCAAAATTTTAGTACTTGTAAATATATATATTTGTCTTCTTTTGAAACTAGACTCGGTTACTTTTAACATTCTACACATGGATAATATGGTCTCAGTAAGATCATATATACTTAATCTATCTTCCTATCCTTGCCCCTAGTTTTTTCTTACAAACCTCATTTCAGCTATGGTGAAGTTATGAACAAGTTTATTGTTTGTTTAGCATCCTGTATCATTCTACATGGCTGGTTTTATTATTGGCTTACAAATTTCTTAATTACTATGTACTGTCCAACTAAATAGTTGGTATGGAATAATTTTTTTTTTAATTTTTTTTTGCCTTTCATCTTTTATTAAATGTGAGCTTATGGACCAAATTAAAGGAACCTTTTCTAGCTTCATCTCCCTCGCCTTTTCCTTCCCTCTACTTCTTTAAGGCATTTTAATATTTTCGTTATGTGACAATTAAATTACTAAACTTCATATATATATATATATATATATATATTTTTACAGAATGTGATTGAAGGATCGATTGTTTCCGTCAAGATATTGTACGGACAAGGGGGAGCTTATATATATTCAAAATCGATGGTTATGTTCTTATTTTGAAAAAGATGATTGTTTCTTTTTGAATTTAGTAGTTTAGTTTTTATTCCTTGACCCTATCATATTGGATGGCTGGGAACTTTTTTAATATTCACAGTGGCTTTAAATTTTTTTTTTTTTTTACACGGTACTAGACTTGATGTTTTTGGTTTAATGAAAAGTAATGGATTTTTGTTATTCTTATTAATACATGTTATGTTATATATGTAGTTATATGATATGATATGTGCCTTATTTTTTAAAATTGAAGACAATTATCATTTGTCATATTGAACACAGGTGCAAGACAAATTTTTAGTTCTATTAGAAAGAAAAGGGATTTTATATAATTTTTTTTTTTTTTTTATAAAAAAAAAGAAACCCTTTTGACGACATGCAATACATGTTTTTAAAATAAAAAAATTAACGATATATATAGAATGTTCAAATGGACGTCGTGATAGGACATAATAAGTAGAGTCGTTAAAAGAGTAAATACAAATACAACATGTTTCATCTGTCGTTCATACATGCATAGATGATTTTCAAATCAAGTCATTAAAGAAGTGCATATTAACAACGCATGAGAAGAGTCGTAAATGTTTGAAAGCAACATTTATTTGGTTGGTTAACGATGTCACATTTTAGCAATAACGACTTGAAAAGCACACCAAGAAAAATATAGACTTTTCATAGCTTGTTCAGTAAGAGCATGCGTATGCATGTCATGAAAATCCTCAAGCCGTTAAAAGTCTTTTTCCTTGTAGTGATATAAACCTTTACATGGGGCATAATTCTATATAACTTAATTAGGCCTTCTCTAATTAGCCTAAATCCATTTCTTTGGGTCAAATAACTCCAAGCTCAAACCATGATTAATTAAAGTATAATAAACCAATTAATTAAATAAGCAAATGGCACATAAACAAATAATGACAAGTAAAGCACATTAAATAATTTAAAATAATCTAATTAACCAATTTAATCAAATAGTTACTTAATCATTTAATAAGAACAATTAGTTAAATAAAATAATTAAAATGTAATTAAAATAATAAATTAAATACTCTAAAAATTAGGAGTGTTACAGCTAAGTGAGGTTTATTTTATAAAATAACAATTATAGAAGAAGGTATTAAAAAAAAATTAAAAAATTTTGGTGGGACCATGACCCCCCGCCCCTGTTAAGGACCTTGACGGCCAATTTGGTTGATCCTGCGTTATGGGTTTCCCAATGGAATAGGCGTTGCGATGAATCATGACATGTATGGCGATGAGAGTTGCAACTTTTTCAACTTGCCAAGGCTTAAGATGTATTTCAAAAAAGTTCCCACTAGATCAGATACATAGGGAAGCTCATTTTGTGGTCTATTTGTATTAGGAATGAAGTTAGAGAGAAGAAATAGAATTAGCAGAGGTTAAGGAAGTTTCCATTTAGTTATTGGAATAAATAAAATTATAAATAATAAAAAATTTGAAACTTGTGTACTTTTAATAATAGTATAGATTTAGAAAAGAATTAGAAAGAGAATTGAATAGAAAATGTAAATTTATATTATTAAAAATGCATTATAAATATATAAATAATGTACTGAAACTCTTTGCAGCTTTAATAATAGCATAGATGTGTGTTATTATATTTTACATAATTTAGTTTTTTTTTTTTTTTTTGGTTTAAAAGAGGTTTATTTGTAATTTGGTTCGTTACGATTCCGGTTGGAACCGGAACCAGAACCATTCATAACGGTACCTTAAAAACAAAACCGTACAGGTATGGAACCAAACCGTACAGTTCCATGAGAACCGACCGTTAACTTCTAGCCATAAGACTGTTTGCTCTTTTTAGTTTTTTCCCTTGTTGTACCATTGTTCAGTGAATCAAAAGTTATCCATTACTTAACAGAATACAATAACAAAAATATAAATATAAATAAATTCGTAATACAGAAATTAAAACTGATAGTTTGAAATTAAAAAACTAAAAAATCTATAATATTACATCCCAAAATAAAATACTAATAGTTTGAAATTCTTCCGGATAAACTGAAAAACAGTATATTGCTAGCCTGAGATGGTGTGTGGGTGTAGATCGGAGAAGCTGTATGACCGTGTCGCTGACTGAGAAGTCTGGAGGAGTCACTTGACTGAGAAGTCTGAGATGGTGACTGAGAAGAGAAGATGAGAGGAGGAGGAATGAGGATGAAGAAGATCTGAAGATGAGAGGATGAGGAGTGACTCAATGAGGACTGAATCGAAGAGATGAGACTTGAGAGGAGGCGAGGGTAATGAGAGTAGGCGAGGGTTAGCTTAGGTTTAGGTTTAGATGAGAGGAGGTGAGGGCAATAAGAGGAGGTGAGGGTTAGCTTAGGCTTAGGTTTAGATGAGAGGAGGCGAGGACTGAAATTCTAAATCGATGTTCATTGTTTAGGCTTAGGGCAAAAAATTAAAAAAGTATGTTTTAATTGTTTTTCACTTTTTCTTTTGTGGTTAGCTTAGGACCACGTGGCTCGGTGTCGATGGCTGCCTTAAATGGTAGTAATTATTTAGACTGTTTAGTTACTTTTTAGACTATTTAGTTAATTTATATATATATATATATATATATATATATATGGTTTCGGTTCTTACCGGTTCTCATGGGCTGGAACCCAAACCGTACACCTACGGTTCTGAAATTAGGAATCGGGACCGGAACTAGAACCGTGAGAACCAGAATCGATGCCCACGATTCGGTTCGGTTTTCACGGTTCCATGGTTCTTTTGTGCACCCCTAATGGAAATGGCAATAGAGTTGGTGGTGGTGGTCGGCCAGTGGATAGAGAATGATGGAAAGAGAAGGATATTTTCATCCATTAAAAGAAGATTTTGTAGTTGGTGGTGGTGTTTTAACCCAAAAAGTCTCATACCATTTGGAGATAACACTAGCATATATAAGCACTTCATCTTTATCTTATCCAGTTGAGATGAGATTGTGCACCCATAGCCTTCTAGTGCCTCGCACATCTACCCATAAGGTCTTCTGACTGGGACCCATCTCTGATACTATTTATAACAGTCTACTCCATCAAATGGTATGATATTGTTCGCTTTGGACCCAAGCTCGTACAATTTTGCTCTTGTGTTTTATCCCAAAAGGCCTCATACCAAGTTGTTGCCACTTTGTGGACGGGTGTGAGGCACTGCTAAGCTATTATACTAACAAAGTATGGGTGTATGATCCCACATCACCTCGGTAAGATGAAAGTAAAGAAGTGCTTTATATTTGTTAGGGTTGTTTCCATATGGTATGGGGAATTTTAAGGTAAAATTCAAGAACAAAATTGTGAATATCATATCATGTGATGTAATGAGCTGTTATATAGAATGTTCATCGATAAATCTTAAATCAAAGCCTTAATAGAATTAAAATCGTTCATTTGGACCCACTTGCTCTTGTGAGTCGTTTAGTTAGTCCAAAAGGTACTTTTTGTTATGAACTTATATTATGACGATTGAAAGAGACGGTAAATAGCGTTGTCATTTAAAGTTGTTGTTAAGTATGTGAACGTGTATTGATTAATTTAAAATCAAAACCTGAATATAGTTATAATAGTTCATTTGGATCCACTTGCTCTTGTAAGTGGTTTCGGTCCAAGCCAAATCAATCTAAAAACGACATTTTTTTTTCTTGGTTATGAATTTCAAATCAAAACCTTAATAGATTTATAAGAGTTGAGTGGAGAAGCTTGGAGACTGTTTAGAGGTTTCTGACCGTTTAAAATTGCAAAAAGGAGGTCAATAGGTCGTAAGTTATAACTCCTAAATCTGGTGAAGGAAGGGCCTTTTTTTTTTAAGAAGTTTTGGGTCAATCTCAATTAAGGATGGACAATAGAAATGTTGTGTCAACTTCACATTTTCTTTCTCTGTGTATCAGAGTTTCTTCTCACTGTAGCGGGTTCTTTATGTATTAAGGTTTCTTCTCCAATCTGTTATGTTTTGTTGGTATGGCTTCCCTGGAAATTCTAGATCGTTGTTTCTGCCGGTGGTCTGCTCGGTTGGTCTCCTGTGTTCTGTGGATTTTCGGATTAAGTGCTTTGATTGGTAGTCAGCAAAGTGGCCAATCGTCGCACATCTTCCCCTTTGATCCTGGTATTGGGTCGGTTTCCTTGGTTTCCCTTGTAGTTCTGCGTAGGTCTATGTCTTGTTTTGGGTTCTGTATAGTCTCGATGTTGCTCTGGGTTTCCATGGCAGGTCAATCTCTTTTAAGGGATACAGTCGTCGCCATGGAATATGGAGACCGATTGGATGTTGTTGCTTTTAATCCTACAACCGGTAAGCTATTGATGCTTAGATCTTCAATCTATTGTGGTGTTTTGGTGCATCTATTTTGCGTTCTGGGGCTTTCTTTTGGTGTGTCCCCTTTCATTTTGTTTGGGAGCGTATCAGTTGTTGGGGTGGAAGTTGGGGAGAATTTTAGGCTTTTGCAAGTTAAATGGGTCTCCGTTGTGTGGTTGCTACGTCCTATGTCTACGACTATTCGAGCCGTATTTATTCCGGGCGCCTTGGCCTATGGGTCATAGCAGGGTGTTGCCGAAATGTTTTGTCACGCTCGGAAAAATCCGGTGCGTGGCTTTTGTGCTGATACTTGGGATCACAATGGCTTTTATGTTGTAGAGGAATTTCCTGTTGAAGAAGGCTTGCCGGCGTTCTCTTGTTCTTCTCTGTTTGATTACTTTGTGGTCAAATGTCGTTCGTGGTTCTTAGGTTGCACTGTTGGGTTTCAGATGGTGGACCCCAGGGATATGACGTTGCTGTATGTGCATGAGGTAAACGCATGGTCCTTGACATTGTCAAAGGCAATTATGCCATGGTTTGTGGTGCTTGTGCGTGATAGACAAGCTCTTTTTGTAGGGCTCATTTGTGTTCACGTGTCTCAGTCTTTGCTGGCTCTTTGACAGTCTCCATGGACAGTTAGTTTACAATTTGGGTTTGACTTTTTATCTTCTGTGGTGGGATATGCATAGTTGTAAGTTTGTTATGGTTGTACGTGGTCTTGTGGTTCTTTTGTTTTGTTGTAGATGCCGTGTGGCTTCTATTGCCAGGCTAAAAAAAAAATAAATTAAAATCTCAATTAAGGAAAAATAAAATGTCTCAAATTTATTTTTAAAAAAAAAAATTGGGATTTTTGCATCTTGAGATTTGATCCAAGCTCTTAGAATTGGAATAACT